ATCTTATAGGATGTTTCATCAGTTAATGTGAATTTCAGTTAGCAAGAATTGAAAATTGTTTTTTAGTTTGTTGCATCATTAGATTTTATCATTTAACACAAACTTTCAAAGTTTTTTATACTTTTTTTCCTGTTTCTCTACTAGGGTTGTGTTAAAAAATGTTCCTGCCCATTCAGTTGAAAACATAACCAGCACAAGTAACCTTTCTCAGCAATCATGATCATCGTGTCAACAATGAGTTTCAGTCGCATTAATGATGAACTTTATTCAACGAATACAATTCTGTGTTCAGATATGCTTTTTTATTCTTTAAAATTTTGCTAATGTGAATAAATGTTAAATTTCGAGTAATTCTGAATTAATTAGATAAAATGACTTGCCTGTCTTTTTCCAATGGCCAGCAGTGTGAGTTAGCGTCTTCTCTTCTTCCTAAAACTCAGTTATGACACAGCTCACTAAATAAATAATTCAGGTTAAAATTAAAATGAATTGCATTTAAAATAAAATATTTGCCACTTTTAACAGACCTGTAAATGACACTCGTAACTTTCAGAATGCAACAAACAACATTAAACTGCAGGCATTAAAAGAGGCATTCATAGCCAAGAGGAAGAAGACAGGCATAGATCTGTAAACAAAACTAAAAATCCTTGAGGAAGGTTGGTTGGCCGTACTGTTTCGAAAGACACTTGATTTCACCATTAGTGATTTGTGATGAAGTAAATAAAGTTGATGATGAAGGAACAAACAAATGGTTACATGAAATTTAATCAAGTGAGAGAAAAGTATACCTTGTGTGATGTCTACAATATGGGCAAAAATGGTCTTTTTTTTATAATCTTTTACTAAGTCATACTCTTGGAATAAAAGATGTCACCGGTTATCAGTAAATCTGAGAAACCACATTTCTTTAAACCTTGTTGTATTATTGCAGTTATGAAAGAGGTTTTATCGCAAGTGACTTGTGAGAGATGCAATTTGCATTACTGAAAAGGAGATGGAAATGCCAACTTGGAGTGTTCTGGGCTCAAATAAAAGCTGTCACTGCACCCTGGAAATCCATGTCATAACAATGCATACAAAACTATTTTAGCAGAGCCTGAAGACATAAAGATGCTAATCCTGTTCATGAGTTAGATGGTGATAACGATACCACTTCACCTGACGAATGGAATAGTCTGCATGATGTTGTATACCCTTATGCTAGTTTTGAGGAGTGTTTTATTGCAGATGGCAATGTTGCTATGTCTTCTGCAGTGGAATTTGATGTGCAAAGAAGTTGTGTCTGAGGTGCAAAAACTGCCATCGGAAGAAAGTGAGGAGGACAGTATTATTCTGCCCACCTGCCAGAAAATGCTACACACTTTGGACATTGTAGAGTGTTTTGCTACAACATCTGAATTGACTACTTTTTTTTATGGAGTTGGCTATGAAGTCACCAGGCATTTTGTCCCTGTCTGTGACAGCAAAATATACTGGAATTTTTTACCCAGAAATGATCTTTGAATGCATTTTAAGTTAATGCTAAGTAATTAATTATAGTACTGTTTGTAATGTTTTCTATGATGACATACATAGGATATTGTAGTACCTATGTAACTATATACTCTAAATAATTAATGTGTAGAAAAATTATTCAAGCATAAAATCTGAGACCTCAGTTTACTGGAATCTTAACATGAAATCTTGATTTTCCAGTGCTTTCAGATTTGCATTAATGAGGGTTTACTTTAAATTTATGTTTAAATGCTTATCTATATCTTCAAAATTGTGAATGTGAAATTTAACCTGTTCTATTCTAGCAAAGCATTTTATAGATTAATTTCAAAATTGGTTCAGTAAATTTTTCATGTTTTATTTCAGATAACATAGCTAAAATTCTCATGTCTGGGAACAGCAAATGCACATTGGTGATTGTGTATTAATAATTGAAATAATAAAATACACCTATCATTTTTAAAAGTTGTTGCACAAAAAAATATGGACTGAATATTTCTTAGCAATAAGTTATTTAATTAGTACATAAGTTATTCCATTGAAGCTGGGAAAGGAAATTTTGACAGGCATAGTTATAATTTATTTTTAGTATCGTTCAGCAGTACAGCACAATTTGCATGAATTTTAGAAGAAGCATACCTATCAGTAGTTTTGTTAACAAAACATGGTATTGGTGAATTGAATTTCTTCCCTTAAAATGCTCTTCTGAAAATTGCATCTATCTTATATGTGTAACTTAACATTTAAATTCTTTGCTTCCAGTGCAGGTAGAAGGAAGCTACTTTGTTGGCCCATAACTTCAGAATACTAAACGTTATTGTGTGTTGAAGCATATTTTTCAGTTATGCCTAACGTACAAAAGAAATTCCTATAAAATCTGCTTTTTTATTAAAATATTTCAATTTTTGCATGTAGTATATAAATTCTACTTTTCTATATGAACTGAAAATAACTTATTTTTGCAATACAAATGAAAATAAATGGAGTATTATTAATAATAATTACATTTATGTATCAAAATTATTTATATGTATTAATAAAGCAGGAAACTTAGAATTTGAAAAGAGCAATGCATATTATATCCTACTGCCATTCTTACGTTAAAAAAAGCTCTTCATTGTAGTTATGTTTCTAAACCCTGAACAATACATTGATAAACATCGTATGTTTTACATTTATAGATTAATACAGTAGATGATATTCATAACAACATAGTGAATGCTTAGAACATTCCAATTAAATGACCACTAGTGACACTTCATTCCCATATCATATTCCATATCAGTGATATTCAAACTATATGGCAATCCAGCCCCATAAAAATACAAACAACTTCAAAAGACAATTTCAGAACACTAGTCAGAGAGTCTATCTTACTTATATATCATCAATTCAGATTTCTATATTTTTATAAACCTTGCATCCCCACTTTAAATTTTTCTGACCCCCATGTAGAGTCATGACCCATAGCTTGAATACCACTGTTTTATACGATAGGCATGTGAAGCAAAGCAAAAACATGTCATGTATGATGTTCTTGAAGAGAAACAGTTAAAAAATATGTTAAATAATTTACGAGGTGTCTTTTAACACTCACGTTAAAGGAAAACATATTAGTTTTACATCAATGTCTGATACTGAGACTGTCTATAATTATCTTTCATGTACAATACATGAAGATATGGAGCTCAAAAATGTAACCTCATGTATTGCTTCACAATTCTTCTGTTAAGCACTTTAAGAAATATAGAGTAGTAACGCCCTTTTATTGCCAGTATAATGTATAAGTTGAGCAAAGAACTATGAAGAATGAAGCGTAAAATCATTATTTTAATAACAAGTTGAGAGTTTATGAAATCAAAAAGTTTCATAAACTCAGTCACTTATCATATATTTGTTAAACTGATGATATACTGCAAATTAATCTCTTTGAATTTCATTTCAGCATACATTTAATGAATAAATTTCTTTTATACAAATTTTATTTATTAAGAATCTTGTACAATAAAGAAAATGTCTTTCTATATTCAGGCAGCTGAAAAGATGATTTTTTAGAGAATGGTTCTGTAAGGAATTTTACATTCTAATGTTATCTTTTGATTCTGAGTATAAAATTTTTACTTTATTCAGTGTCACAAAATTTAAATACTTCATTTGATGCAAATCAAACATTTTAAATTGAAAGGTATTATATACCAGTAAAATTTCCATATTTTTGCATCATATCAATAATAACTTCAATGTTATGTTTACATGTTTCATTTCAGCCTGTTTATTTTGATATTGAGATATTATGATGATTTTCTTTAATATTAGTTTAGTTAGGAATCATAATATTATTGGAGTGAAATGAGGTTTCAAAGAAACATTATTCGTAAAATAATCATATAATAATGTATTTGAAGTATGATATTAAAAATCTGTTGTAGTCCTTTTAAAATGAAAGCCTTTGAGTGGAGTTTTATTTTCTAGTAATAAAATGGTATTTGTTTTGAAAAAAAAAGTTCTTGATCTATACATCTAATGCAAAATTCAGGAAATTTGAAATCTGCAGAATCTCTCTAAAGTAATACAAAAAATCTGAAAAGTAAACATTTAGAATAGGGATCCAAATGTAACAATAATTGTCTCTAGTAGATGATAGCCTTTCAAATTTTGTGTGGTTTTAAAATGAATCTTTTCTAAGAGTATTCTTTAGATACTTCATATTTAATGTGCACAAAACATAATGTAAGGTTATGTTTTATAATGTATTTAAGATGACATCTTTATTTATGCTCATACTAAATACAGATTTTAAAAATTTTAGTGTTTGGTTTAAACAAAAATCAAATAATTATTTTCTCGGATTTAATGCTGTGGTTACACTGTTTTTAGAACAAGTACTGGTAATAAAAATGGAAAAAAAAAAAAAAAGGTTAACTCCAAGGATATGTTGCAGGAATGACACACATGAAATCTTACTAAGAGTATATGTAGTTGCAATATTTATAGCATAAAGCAAAATCTGATGATCCAAATGTAATGTTCTTTATAGCAAATATATATCAACCTGATATATGACAGACCATCTTTATATGCAAATCCCTGTGTTCTTATAAAGCACCTTCAAATTTTAGATTATTTTCTACGTAATGCCTTCTTACATTACAGTCATTTTATTAACACTTATGAAGAATTTTTACTTATTTTGTTATATAATTTCATATTTATTCTTCAAATGTTCATTTTATTTTTATGCATATTTCTGTATTCTCAGTTTTCTTATAATTTCCTAATTATTCATAGATTTAAGTAGTGATTAAAAATTAATTTAGGAAATGAAACTTTATCTGATATTTTCTTAAGGTTATGATATATTTGAAATTTTTTTTATTGAAAAGTAAGCCTTATTGTTTTTATTATAAATTAGCATTTCAAGCTGTTGCGTTTCTTCATAAATTTTAATTTTTCTTGGCTAATGCTAGATTATTTATGTCGTATATTAAATTGTTTACTTCTAGAAAGCAGTTTGATTCGTTTATTGCCATCAGCATATCAAGGAGGAGTATATGAACCTGTTAATCATAGTAAAGCAAATCCATTTATTGTTAGTGATAGTATTATGAAAGAAATTTCCATGTGTAGTGGACATAATGAGTCATCTTCAAAAACTGGAAAGAATGTTTTTATGGTCTTTTTTGGTAAGTTTTTTTAAATTTTGAAGTTAGAACTGCTGTTTTATTTCTGATATTTAGTTGCTAGAATTTTAAATTCTTTGGCATAAAATTTAGTACAGATTTATTTTTGCTGCTAATTGGGTATCTTGACAGGGAAAATATTATTGAAATTTTTAATTCTTTGAAATCAGTACCAACACTGAATAAAACACACTGAATAAAATATTTCAAATGTTATTTTGAATTGATTATTGAACATGAAATATACAAATTTCATGCATAAATTGTGCAGTAAGGGAGGTAAAATAAGATGTATTTTATTTTTTGTTTGATCTGCAACTGTCATCTTGCTTCAATTATAAATTACTGATTCAATACATTTTTTAATCTGAAGTAGGATCTTTATTAGTATTTTTAACAGTGCTATTTTTTAGATTTAAAGGCTAAAAGCTCTTTTTTTATGTGTTTATTTCATTTTGTATTATACTTGACTCCAGTTGTTATTTTCTTGAATTTATTAATTGTTGAATGAATGTTTTTTAACCACTTGCACTAAAAAGACGTGTCACGCACGTCGAGATGCTTTTGTCTCAAACCGCATGCAAAAATGAAAATAACCTGGTGCACACATCGCCTATCAATGAGATTGTTTATTTCTCAAGTTACAGCTCTGGATTGCACTCGCAGACGCAGAGCGATGTAAATGAGACACTTTACTGCTTGTTATATTGTAGCGCATGGCACCGCAACCATGAAGTTTAGTCGTAGTGCAAGTGGTTAAAGATTGTAATTAAAAGTTCTGTAACATGCTAGTTTTAGATGCAAAGAACTCTTATTTATTTTTACTATACTTGATTTTGTCTTATATTTTAATAGGTCAATTTGTAGTTGAGGAAGTGTTAAATGCAAGGCAGTTGTCATGTCCACGAAATTATTTCAACATCCATATTCCTTCTGATCATTATTATAAAAAAACTGGTTTAAAAGAAATGCCTTTTATTCGAACAAAATATGACACAAATACAGGAAAATCTCCGAATAATCCAAGGAAGCAAGTAAGTTATGTTTTCTTTAATTAAAAATTTTGTATATTTTGGCAATAGGTACGCTTGTGTTATCAGGCCTGAATTCAAAATTGTATGTATGTATGCACATATATGTGTGTGTACTCTTACACATGCTTACATGCCTACATATATACATGTATATATGAACACATACATACATACCTTTCTGAACTCAGTCCTGATAATAGAATAGTATGTGGCAGTAATTACGGTACAAATCTGAAATCCAGATGTCCATTATCCGGAATGATATAAAATTCAGACCTCAAAACCATCAACAATGTTTTCCTCGTAGGCTTTACGCATGCGCTTTATGTTAATAATTGAATAATAAAGGAGTATGGTAACCTTTTATATGTTGACATTACACTTGGCGATGATTTCAGATTTAAGTTAAATAAGCTAAAAAATGTTGACGAGGAAAAATTTACCAACAATTTCTTTCCATATGCTAAAAATAGACTTTTTTGATGATACTTATAGACCCAAAGATTACATTTAGGGCTATTTGAATTAAGAATAACTGATGTGTTATTCACGTAAAGCCAGAACCAGTACCAGGGCTTGTATCACCGCACCGAGTTGCAGAATTTAGGACCCACAGAACCTCCATCAGGTGGTGAGATACCTAGCCCCAGCTGTCAATAAGGCTTAAGTATATGTGGGAGTTTATTTATTCAGAACTCTGATAAGCCTTAAGCATGTGCAAGAAATAGACATAAGTATAATAAATAAATAACTAATACAATTCATGCTTAATTGTCTCAGTGCGCGATAGAAGCAAGATTTCCGATTAAAGGATTTTGTAAATGTGGAGCAGCAGTAATAAATGAAGATGATATTAAAGAAGTTTTTCATTGTGATGGCAATGCTTCTCAATCATCAATCAATTAATGAATCGCGAAATCTGTAATACGGTTCTAGATCCAGAAAAGTACCGCTACCGATAGTGAAGAAAGTGACAGAGAAGTTTCTGAAAACAAGAAAATTTTGATTGACAAGTTTGTCAGAATTCTCAAAACAGCTGTTGCAGGACTTCAACAATGTAACTGAACAAGAGATTATATCTGTCTATAGAATTAAAGAGAAAGTATTAGCACAAAAAACGAAGCAACTGAAACAACTTGCATTGAAAGAAATGTTTAATAAGGTAAACAAATAAATATTAAGCTTTTTTTTTTTTTTTTTTGTAAATTTTGATACTTTAGATCATAAATACTTCATTATTTCATAAATCACGATTTCATATTTTTAATTTTATAATTTCTACATGCCATCTTTCTAGATTTAAACTGATAATCTAATAATCAAAAAATCCAAAGTCCGGAATCGCCAAAGTCCCGACAAGTTGGGATTTCGGACTTTGTACTGTACTTAGTTGTGAATGTAAAGGCATATATATGTAAGTAAGATCAGATATTTCTTACAATGTAACACAGTTGGAAAACTAGAAAGAGTAGTAGCATAGAAATAGTACTTTAATTAAAAATATAGATAAAGCATCTATTTTTTTATAAAGAATGCTCAATACATTTTAAAATTAATTTGTAATGTATTAAATTATCCAATATCTGTAACAATCTATGACAATTGGATAATGGTTCCAGGAGAAAGAGTGATGAATAGGTTAACAAGTAAGTATATTTTTGATGGGTACAGGATCCTTGATATGTGAATATTGGGTACTTTTTTTTAATTACAGCTCTTATTTTGTAAATGATGACAGGATTATCAATAAGTTGCCAACAAAACCATCATCAAATGGCTGGAAGTCCTTAATGAGCAGTTATTGTTTTTTGTGAATAAACCATGTGTTATCATATTTCGATATTTCCCGTAAATGTTAACAATTCAAGATCACTCATAATTCAGTTACTGTGAGGGTAGCTCTGAGTATTCCACATTTTAATGTAATTTCATTAAAAAAAAATCTAAAAATGTTTGATTTATTGAGAAACAAGGAAGATACCATATCTTTCTTTCAAGTAAGATGCATTTTACCTCGCATTCAAATATGTGAAAATAACTATTAAATAAAACTACATATCAGTGAAAGCTTTTGGATGTTCAACATGAAAAATTTTAAGGAAAAACATATGTTTTGCCAACCAGTTCACTAATTTCAGAATATTGTTTGTTACAGTGCAGTGATTTATTTACTTTTATGCAGAGGAGCTGATATCGATTAAGTGATGGTAGAAGCAACTCAACTTTTGTAGTAGGACTATAACTATTGATTGGAATAGTTTATTAAAGAAGGGTATTTTCTTCATGTAATCAGCTGACCAAATAAGCAGATATGAGGCCTTGGAAATTTGCAGATTCAAATAAATATCTGTTCATGCAGGGAAACCAACAAGGCTGGATGGTTCCTGCACAACTTGTTATCATGTGAGAAGAATAGCCAAACTGCTGTTCTTAAGCTGTATGTGGTTGTTTACCCATTCAATATAGCTTGCCTTATAACAAGCAGTAATTTTGCTTTTGCTCTTTAATTCAAAAATTTAAGGAAATGATTTGTCACTTTTTACCAATATGTAACTTAATTATTGTAATTTTAGCAATATGTAATAATTTATTATGTGTATAATTTCAAAAAAAAATGCAGCTTGCTTTAATTTTTGAAGTAATAAACAAAAGGCAAATAATTCCTTTCTCTAATTTGATTCTGTATACTGTTAGAATATATACTGGCAATTGGGATGGGAAGGGGGACAAATACAAATATATGCTGTATTTTTCATTTTCAGATTTACATATCTAAAAACTTACTGAATGGCAGAATACATACAGTTGCGAATTTCACAACATAAAAAATTGTATTTAATGAAATAATGAAATACTTTAAGACTAGATGTGATATTCATATTTTGTCATACTGTTAGTTGAAGTGGAAAATGAAAGAACAGTTTTCTTTTTATTATTATTATTGAAGAATCCTGAAGCTGCAGTTATAATTTTTATATTTGTATACAGTTTCTAAGCGTGATTGATTTGGTTCTCTCCAAAGATATGTGCATTGGTGAAGATTAATGAAAAATCATTGGTTCCATTTTTCAGGTTAATTTGTTATAAAGCAATTATGCTTTCTTTTGTTTTCAATATGTTACCAGCAAAATGAGTATAAAATTATAATCAGAGAGAGAAAAGATTATAAAACTGTAAGAGAAGCTTGGTTGTATATTTGGAAGAAGAGATTTCCAATGCAGTGTTTGAATTAGAAAAAAAAATAATAAATTCATATGTTATAGAAATAGTTTTCTAATGCAGAGCAAGAGTAAAAGAAGTTATTCTATTTATAAGTAACCATGCTAATTTTGATTCATTTATTGAACCATTTTCATTCTGTTCACAAATTATTTTACTGATTTAAAAACAATGTAGGTATCTAATCATAGCTTTTAGAAAGCATAATTAAGACTCTTTAATATTTCTGAATTATAACATGATTCGACTGATATGAAATTGCTTGGAAAAGGTAGCTACAGGTTTGATTTTCCATGCAGTTTGTGTTTTCTAAAATGCAAAAGAACTCCAAATATCTGAACTAAAATACCTCCCATCTTGATAATGGAAAAATATGTAGGCCACGTGCATTTTTATCTTCATCCAGGTGAGTAAATTTTGTTTATTTTCCTTTATTCTAATAAAGAATGCAGAATTTAAAAAAACATGAAAATAATTTTTTTTAATTAAGATAAAAAAGAATTTTTAGGAACATTACATTTTTAGCAACATTCAACAATCGTGAAATTATTTCAATTTTCTGAATTAAAATATAAAATATAATTTTTAATTGCTTGGACATACAAGTTGTTTCTACTTCAACTGAAGGAAAACAGTGAAAGTATTCTTTATTTACCTGAGACCAAAAACTATTTTTACTGCACAAATAACAAATTTTTTTATTCATTTCAAATAAATCATATAACTTATTCATTTTCATTAAGATATTTTTTATTAATAAATTTAAAATTAAATAGTAATTCAACAAACTAAGTAAAATTATTTTTAATTAAATTTTACAATTCAGTTTAAATAATCAAATATATGCTTATCATTATTTTAAATTTAATTATAAAATAAAAAACACATAAATAAATTAACAAATGTATTTTTGCTTGGCTTAAAAAAGATTTTAATAAAATAATAGAGTTCCTTGCAAACAATCTTAATACTATGGATATAAAGGGGGTCCTGTAAAAATGAAATTAAATTTTCTATATAGTTGCTGTGAAATAAAAATCATAATTTTATGATGCATTAACTTCTTAAAGATGATTATGAGCAGGTGAGAAAAATTTCTAAATCATAAAAAAAAAGGCGGGTTTTGTATTTAGAAAGAATTTCCAGTGCAGTATTTCACATCATTATGTGACGAATCTATAAAGATATAAAGAAATTCATTTTTCTGTGTCTACAGTCAACATAATTAGACATCTGAAAACAAATTTATGGGACCAGCTATAGAAAAGAAACATTGTTTTTTTTTTAGAATAAATTTTGCTGTGCTGGGTTAAGCAAAATTCTCATTAAATTTGTAACTTTTTAATATGTAGAGCTACACAACTTTTTTTTTTTAATTTTTCTTTTAATAAAAGCATAGTGAAGAATTCGTTAACTGAAATTTTTGGTTCCTAAGGAACTATATAAATAGTTATGCATAACAGTTTATAATAATAGAACAGTTATTTTACATAATATAGAACCTTTCATTCACAGCATTGAAATTGTTTTCATAAAATTCTTTACCATATTTAAGGAATTCTAATTAGATGTCTAGAATCATCAGATTTAAGGAAATAAAAATATTTTGGTTAAAATTATTTAGCAGGACTGAAATAAGACTGATTTTGGCTGCCACAGATGAAGTTTCTCTTAACACAGTGGCCAGACGCTTGTTAGCATCCGCTGGGAATGAACAAAGCCATTGATCATTTAACTATATTTTCACCAACAACAGTTTCTAGGCTGCTACATAAAGGGTGACTGATATTACATTCTTTATATAGCAAATGATATCTGTTGCTCTATTAACCATATATATCATTATATATTATATAACTTTTTCTTCCCATTTCTATTTCTCTGAGTAAAAACATAAAATCTAAGAGTTAAAATGTTTGCCAGTGATGAAACTGTTTTTCCTGTTTATCAGTCCAAATACTTTGTGACTGTTTTCCATATTTTCAGTTCCAATTCATTGCTAAGGTTAGTAACTTAGTAAACTGAAAAAATTGTATTAAATTACACTTTTGTAACTGTAGTTTGACTGTAACAATACAAATATGCTGTCATGTTGGTAATATTTTCAGGTTTATTTCTATCAATTAAAAATAAAGCAACTGTTTTTCAATAAATATAATTTTTGAATTTGCTTTGTTTTGTTAATTTTATATAAAATTATACATCTACATTCACTATATGAAATGTAGTAGTTGTGCAACAAAAACTAAATAGGTGAAAATGAAAAAAAAAAAAAAAAAAAAAAAATTAAATATTACTGTGTTCTTTAAAAATGGTTTAAGAAATAACTGCTTTAGTATTATTAATATTTTAAAGAATTATTTAAATTATCCTTTTCCTTAGTTAAATTCTGCAACTGCCTGGATTGATGGAAGTGCCATATATGGCACAACCAATGCAGTTTCTCAAGCTTTACGTACTTTTAAAAATGGCCTTTTAGTAAGTAGTGATGAAGACCACCTCTATCCTTCATTCAATTATGGGTATTTATCGTATCTCTCTCCATCTAGAAATATTGATGACAGTAAAATGAAGAAAGCCCATTATAGTAAGTGCTTATTCTTTAAACTACTTTTTATATTCATTTTTATACCATAAAATCTAAATTATTTAATTCTGTAATATTCTAAATGATCTTGCATTTCATATATTTCTAAATAATCATGTAACACTTTTAGATAAATTAATATGAAGTTAAAATACAATGAAATTTCATGATTAACAATACCTGAAAATCATTAGTAAGATTTATAGTTATTTTATGATCATTAAAACATTTAGTTATTTGATATCTTCCTTATATACAATGAATATTATACTGACAAGCCCTTTTCCATTTCCCTTTTTAATACTTATTTGCTAAGTTATTCAGGATGATTTTCAATAAGTTTCTAAGTTCTTTATTATTTTTATTACTTATTTTACTATTTATAAAATCCTTTACTACTTAATCATTAAGCTGTTCGAGGAGATTTCCATATTTTTAATGTTGTAATAACCCAGGCAGCATGCATTCATAAATTGCACGAGAAAAATATGTGCAATTTACAAATGGCCCTTCGTATAAAAAACGTTCAAGTTGAATGTAAAAATATCATAAAAAGTATCCAGTAACACATGCTAGATATTTATGTATATTTTTACGTTATAATATACGTAAGTTTTACGTAAAATTTAGGTATATTTACGCAAAAGACTGCTGTTCATTTGTAACTTTTACAAAAAATTATGTGTAAATTTCAGGGATTTATGTATATTCATCACATATACATAAATCTCTCCAATTTTTTTTCATGTATACATATATATTTAGTAAAATTTACGTAAATCTCCCCAATTTTTTACTGTATATAAATGTATATATTAGATAGAAATTAACGTAGATATTCCCCATATTTTACGGTACAAAAACGTATATATTTAATAGTAATTGACCTAAATCTTCCTTATGTTTTCTTTGCATATGCGAATGGTTTGGTAAAAATTTAGTCCGAAGTTTTATCCCCTTTACTGTGTATAAATATATTTTTGGTAAAAAATTTGCATAAATCTCCAATTACCTTTTTCGTAAAATGTACTTATTTTAATCTCATATTTTTTATATAAAGTTATACAAAACTTTCCTGCATGTTATGATTAAAAGGTAAAATAACATTTTTATATCAAATTTTTACGTATCCGCCTTTTAGGTATGTACAGCAATATGGAATATATATAAAATTTAAATGCACTAGTAAATGCAAAACAAATATAATTTCTATTAAAAATTATGTAACACTTAAAGGCTGAAAATCACTTTTAATATTTCATTTCAAAGTGACTACAAAATATGCAATAAATTTCGTAAACATGAATTCTATGTTTTAAATAAATTAATGCTATCGCTCGTTTACATGGCATAAGAAAATGTCCTTTGGAAAAGCAAATAATTTATTTAAAGTGTTATTTAGCTAAAATGAATTTAGTAAATAACTGTAGCAAACAGTTGTTTAAAGTACAATATAGTTAATTACCAAATTCAGTAAATGACTGTAGCGCAAAAGAAAACATCATACATTCAGATTATTTTAATGAGTATGCTAATTTTTTAAATTGTTAAATATAGACCATGAGGGGATATTGTAGAAAACTCACCTTTTCCAATAGTTACGAAGTTGACTTTTTTGCTTATTTTCCTTGAAGATGAATGTTTAACGTCTCAAATATTGCATTCATATCTTCAGATAGTGTACAAATATATATATTATATATATATTCATTTGTTAAAATTAAGTCTATCAAAAACATGTTAAAGAAAATATTATTAATTTGCATGTAAGTTAATCGAGTAACTTCTGTTTTAGTTACACACATAATTATGATATGTAAAAATTTTACATTTATCAGTCAATCTTGCAATGTATTGTAATCTATTATTGTTATCTGTCTCAGTTTTAAATCTTATAAATATATTAGATCAATACTAAAAGTTCACCTTTACAAAAGAAATGCTTTATCGAGGCGTTTTTTAAAAAGTTCCTTTTTACAATGTAACTGTTAATTTCATAAATAATTTCATAAAATTATGCAAATTCAAAATTACCTAAATAGGTTCTTTATTTTATCTTATATACCACATGAAATTTTAAAAAGTTAATTTGTTTAGGAATATTGAAGTTTTTAAATATTTGTGTCATGTGACTTTCTCTCTAACATCATTATACATGTACATGTTGATGTGGACATACCAATTATTTTTTTCCATCAAATAGCTTTATGGTATTAAATGATTTAAAAGGATGAAATTGGACAAAAGAAAGCAATTAGAAGTTGGCTAATTTTTTATTAATTTGTTGTCAAATGCTGTGCGTTTTAGATTATGCTCATATGATGACAATTATTTAAATTATAAAATTAATATGAACATATCCCACATAAATTAACAAGTATCAAATTTCAAGTTGTTTGAAGTAATATGAACTGTAATACTTTCAAAAGTACACATGAAATTAATTTAAGAATTAGGTTTATTTTACAGGTATTCAAAAACTGCAATTACTATTAAACAATAAAAACTAACATTAAATCTGAATAGTATAATTTGTTCAATAATAAAATTTAACATAGCTTTCATTCAGCTTCGCCATATTTGTTGTTCTATATTTTACTGTCTTTAATATCCTGCTTGATTTTTCTAAAGTTCTTTCTCACACAACGTTTTGAGAGCTCCTAAACAAGAAAAAGAAAAAATTGTAATAATTTTACATTTCAGATGTTTTCAGTTTTTAAATAGTTACAGTATTAAAAGATGCATGTAAAATGCACTGTGTATTTCATATTTAAAACTTTACTTTTCAGTAATTAAAAATGTAAGTTCATACTATCACACAGTAAACTTCAATTATATATCTTATACAATGCCTATAATTTCATGTAAAAACTACCTTTAAATTTGTTTAGAATTGCAAGGTTAAGAGCGTCTTTAATGGCTATGTTCATATTTATGTACATGAGAAAAAAACTTAAATTGTGTATTAATTATATTGCATTAGCCTTTCCAATTTTACTCCTACATATAGTAAAGAATATTTGCTTTCTTTTAGATAATGTTTTTCTTAAATAAAGAGTAAGCAGAAAACCAAACACAACACTATGTACATATAACAGAATACTTCATAAGCATATATATGCCATTAACATATGTATATACATTAACAGGCTATTTTACTCATTTCAATAAACCAGAAACCAATACACAATCAGAAATATTATCAATAAATTCCCCCAGAACACGAATCTTTAATTATGATAACAATGGCATCTCAGTTTGCAATATAAAATATTTTAAGTCTACATTCATGTGCATTCTCAACAAAACAAGAAAGCAAACAGAAATAAAAAATAAAATTCTATTTATAATAAATAAAATTATAAATACCATAAAAAAGTTAAAAGCCACGTAGAATGATAGCAAGACTAAATGAAGTCTTCCTTCAAAAATCAATTTAAATTTAAAAATTTACCTTCCTATTTAACATCTCAAAATAGGGTTACTGCTTTCAGTAACTAAATTTTCTGTCTTGGCAAAATAAAAATTGTCATTTCTATTGCAGGAAATATTTGCTGCAAACTTGCAATAAATGCAAATAATCCAGTGAAAAAAATTTAATTGTGGCTTGAATATTTTCTTTATTAAATAAATGAAAAATTCCCAGGTAATATTAATGTATGATCCACATGAAGCTTTTTACCTCTACCATCTCATGCAGCTATTTTAAAATATATAATCTCATATAAAAGCCACAGAATTTTTTTACAAATATTAATATGGTATAAATCATTAATAAATCTTCTAAAAACAGCACCAAAATTTCTGAATTAGATACCCAAAACATAATTCTACATAACTGTTAATGTATGCATTTGCATGCACATACTTAAAATTAATTATATACACAAAAATTTAAGTAAAACAGTGCCAGTAAAATTATACATTTTAATAGCTAATAGCAATTACCAAATTTTAGCTTAACATAACATATTAACTTTAATAAATTCTTAATTAGCAGGATGATTCAATTAAGGCAAAATATGACAGAAATCTACCTGATGGAATAGTTTTAAAAGATCTATTTAAAAAAAGCTAATACCCTTTACATTACACATGGCAGAAATTGAGTAAACTGTATGCAGCTGGATTAGTTGGTTGGTTGGTTTTTTAAATGGCACAAAACCTCAAGGGTTATTATGCACCAGACAAATGGTGAGTAAAATTCAAGATGCATAAACAAGTATCAAGTGAATTGATGAAATGAACATGAAATACTGATGAAGGCATGGAGAAATGACTTTAAAATGTCCAGGCAGAAATGACTGAAAAATGCTCTAGCAAAAGGTACAGCAGAATAAAAGGAAAAAACTTCAAATCATATGGTAAAAAGGAGATGTCTTTTAAAAACTTATGAGGTTGATGTGAGGGTTTCTTCCAATGAGATCTGTTAAGTTAACATTTGTAGAGTTAAAATAAGATTCACGTTTCTGACTAAAAGCAGGACAGCAGGTTAAAATATGATTGACTGAAACAGGAACATTGCAAGTGCCACAAATAGGCTCATTATCTCCTTTCAAGAGGTACTGATGTGTCAGTCTGCAATGACCAATTCGTAAGCAAGTCAGTAGTACATCCTCCTTCCGATTCCCTCTCGACTCCCAGTACTCCAAATTGGGTTTTACCTGCCTTAGTTTTGTTCAGAGTTTGGCATTCCCAGAATTCTTGCCACCTGAACAAGACCTTTGTTCTAATGTAATTCCGTATGTCTGTAAAAGGGACATTGTTTTCTGAGGTAATATCAGCAGATTTTGCTGCAATACCGGCGATTTCATTGCCTTTGATGCCAGCGTGTCTAGGCACCCAGCAGTATGCGATATAATAACCTGCGTTTCTCAAACGGAGGTGCGCCTTTAAAATTTTGAAGACCAAAGGGTGGCTGGTATTTGTATTTATTGATTCAAGAGCACTCAGAGAGTCAGAGTAGATGATGAACTTTCTGCTATTCTGCCTAGAGATAA